AAAGATAAAAGAAAAGGAAGAGGCTCAATGCTCGCCAAAGATGGTGAACATGAACATGATTTTTGCAGCAATGTCGCAGATGGGGAAAGAGCAGGATGCACGTATTTCTTAGATGTCAACGCAGATATGAACAGAGGTGTCAACGCAAAGATCGAGACAAAAGTCGCAGTTAGAAACGCGGTTGTCAACGCAGTTGGAAGAGCAGTACGCAACGCAAGATGCACGTGTATATCAGCACAGGTGTTCTCACAGTTGAAAGAGAAGGATACACGGCTATCGCAGGTGACCTCACAAATAGCAGAAGTGTCGTCACAGATTTCGGAAGAGCGGGATAGAATTAAAACTGAAGTGGATGAATTGAAAGATCGTCTCTGTGAGCTACAATTAAATCGGCCAATTATGCCGTCAGCTTTTGCCACGGTAAAACCTCCATCCTTTGGTGGCACTATTCCGTTCCATGTTTTTAAGCTTCAATTCAAAAAGACGGCAAATAGTTGGAACGCTGAAGAAAAGGTAGTAGCATTGTTCGTTTCATTAAAAGAATCTGCAGCAGAGATATTACAGATCATTCCAAACCGCGAGGCGAGTAGTTATGAAACGTGAATGGGTGCATTAGAAAGACGGTATGGTAGTGAGTACAGGAATCAGATCTTCCAAATGGAGTTGCGAAATCACCGCCAGAAAGCCAATGAGTCGTTGCAGGAGTCTGCTACAGAGATTGAGAGGTTAGCACACTTAGCTTATGCACATAAATCCGTGGAATACATCGAGGACACGAAAATTCAGACCTTCGTCAATGAAATAAAAGATAACACGACACGCTTCGCTACGTTAGCATGTCCGAAATTGACGTTTGCGGAAACCGTTTCGTATGCTCTGACACAGGAAACTCCATCTCTGCTTAGCATTCATACATTTAAAGCTCATAAAGTAGAAATAGAAGAACACATGTGGGTGAACCAATTACTTGAAAAAATTGACAACATGACGAAAGCACTGGAAAAATCTACGGAAGCACGTAAGAAAAATGATGGTGTGGTTAAATGCGTGGTCATATTGCACGCAACTGTAACCAGTCCAATAATCCGGTTAGACGTTAACCCAAAGCTGAGGAAGATCAAACAAATGTCAAATCCAGTCAATCGTTAAACTAAAGCGAGCCGGCCAAAAAGGTCACCGGCTGGCTCCCGCAAGCAAATGCCCTGTAATCTCCATTTCACAAATAAGCAGGAATACGAGTAATGTTACCGTTAGTGGATGTGTAGACGGCAAGCGCATACTGATAAAGAAGTGAGACCATTAGCTGGGGCAAAGTTGCGTACTGCAACTGGAGAAGATACCCTAGTTCTCAGAAAAGTAACGTGCGAGATCGTAATTGGAAAGGTAGCCTTGTTACACAATTTTATAGTGGCAGATATCATTGAAGAAGTGATAATTGGAGTAGACTTTCTAGCAAATCATGGAATCACAATTGACATAAAGAACAGGATTATGACCTATACAAATATAAAAGTGCCACTTATGTTCGGTTACGATAATAAGTACAACGTTAGACGAATGATAATAACTGAGAGTTAACTGATTCAAATCAGAAGCAGTTATTTGGGCAGAGATAAATGAGGACTATGGGCCAAACAAGTGGTGCATTATTGAGGCCACAAAAGAATCTACACAAAACTTACTTATAGGCAAAACTCTGGCTATGACAAGACAAGATAAACGGGTTCCAGTAAGAGTACTTAATGAGTGCGAGTTACTAGTCAAACTCTCCAAAGGAGCTATATTAGGGCAGTGTCAAGAGATTGAAGCCGTGATAAACTGTGAAATAGGTCTTGAGGAACATTCCATGAACAAAAACAACATATCTAACGAAATTAACGCATGGACCAAGGAGCTAAAGGCAAACCAAAAAAAAAGCTAAACAACTTCTTCTCAGATATTCATCCATAAGGACGAGCCAAACCAGGAAGAACCAAAGTTGTGAAACATTTTATTAACACAGGTGATGCAAAAGCAATCCGGCAGGGTCCTCGAAGCGTTCGTTTAGCAAAACGTGAAGTTGTAAGCCAGACCATACGTGAAATGAGCGAAAGCGGCGTAATCGAACCATCAGATAGTCCATGGAGCTCACCTGTACTACTTGTAAAAAAGAAAGATGGCAACATGAGATTCTGTGTGGACTATCGAAGGTTGAATGATGTAACGAAGAAAGACAGTTATCCTAAACCCGATGACACGCTGGACTCGTTATAAGGCACAAAATGGTTCTCAACGCATGATTTTAAAAGTGGTTACTGGCAAGTGGAGGTAAATGAAGAAGACAAAGCAAAGACGGCTTTCAGCGTTGGAGATGGCCTATGGCAATTTACCGTAATGCCCTTTGGATTAAGTAACGCTCCTGCTACCTTTGAGAGACTAATGGACCAGGTATTAAAAGGATTACATTGGAAGGCCTGTTTGGTATACCTCGACGATATCATCGTGTTGGGTAAAAACTTCGATGAACACCTTAAGAACTTGGAAGAGGTTTTTCAACAGATAGCTAGCGCTGGTCTAAAGCTGAGTCCAAAGAAGTGTTCCCTATAACATCGCAAAGGTAGTAGTCATGGAAATTCTGATGCCATGTCCCGCCGTCCATGTAACAACAATGAATGACTATTACAGCAGACTGAAATCCGCAGGAGCTACGGAAATGTCAGCAAGAAGATCCAGATTTGAAAAGTATAATACATGGATTCGAGATGAATAAACGTCCAACGAGAGAAGAAATAGCTGCAGAAAGCCCAGTCGCAAAAGCTTATTGGGCACAATGGAATAGTTTGAAATTAGTTTCTGGAAGCTTTCATCGCGTATGGGAAAGCGAAGATGGTCAAGCTCTGATGATTGTTCCGAAAGTAATAATTCCCGAAGTTCTCAATGTGCTGCACAGCAGTCCAAGTGGAGGATACATGGGTCTAAAACCTTGGAGGAATTAAAACTAAAATTTTATTGGGTTGGTTGTCATCAATCAGTTACGGAGTGGATCGCCGTTTGTGTCGAGTGCATTGCAGCTACAGGGCCGAGGTCCAGGTGCGCCGTTTGAGCGAGTTGCTAATGATGTAACTAGTCCATTTCCGATCAGTAAATTAGGAAACAAATATGTTTTGGAAGTCATGGACTATTTCAGCAAATGGCCAGAGGTATACGCAATTCCTAACCAAGAGGCAGGAACAGTATTCATCAACAATTGGGTATCGATATATGGTGTTCCAATAGAATTACATTCTGACCAAGGGAGAAATTTTGAATCAACTCTAATACAAGAGATATGTCAGAAACTGGGTATCCGGAAAACTCGTACAACTGTATTACATCCGCAGTCCGATGGCATGGTGGAACGATTCAATCGAACTTTGGAAGAATATTTGAGAAAAGTTGTGGACAAGTATCAAAAAGATTGGGATACCCATATATCCTTGTTCCTGATGGCTTATCGGTCTGCTGTGCATGAAACAACGGGGCAGACTCCAGCAAAGGTAATTTTTGGTAATGATCTTCGACTACCAATTGATTTGAAATTTGGAATTAATGCCAACGGAGGAAGGAATGCTAAGGAATTCAGCAGCGTCCTAGAAGATGAGATTAGGGATATACATGCTATGGTGAGACAACGAACCAAAGTTGTGAGAGATAAAATGAAAGCAAAATACGACAAGGCAATGAGCTCTGACGGTTTTATTGAAGGCGATTGGGTATTGTTATATAAATCACAACGAAATAAAGGGTTATTTCGCATATTACAGGGTAATTGGGAAGAACCATACCACGTTATTAAACGACTCAATGATGTAGTGTATCGCATACAAACCATTAACAGACCAAGGAATAAAATGAAGGTGGTTCATCTGGAACTACTTGCAGCCTTTGGTACCGCAAATATGTCTAATCGGGACGATCAGACTTAAGTGGAGTGCAGTGTAGCGAACACGAATATCAGAACATATCAGAACAAATCAGAATCGAAGATAAACTGCCAAAAGCAACTAGACAGCGAATACGTAGTTGCCAGAAAGGTCTAGAAGCGAACTTGTGTTAAAAATTTACTATATAAGGGCTGCCGGATTGTGCAGCAGAGACAGTTCTAATTAGAGTGTTGCCGTGTAAAGAGCAATTAAGCTATAAGCAATAAGTTGTGAACTCGAATATCGAACAATGAGTGTTAAGTTGTTGGAATTTAAAATAAAGAAGTGTATAGCATTAGATTGGGACTTTAATTTAACAATCCAGTGATCGAGCTCAAGAGTGAGTTAAAGTTAGACGATTTATAGAGAAATCCGCTACAAAATATAGACAAGGACAGAATAAAATAAATGACATAAGGACCTATATAAACGGTATGAGGTCGACCGGTAATTTGAAAAACTTTATATTAGGCATAGAAACGGTGAGAGAAATCTTGATCCGATTTTACCCATTTTAATAAGAAACTTCTAACAAAAAAAAATTTAAACAAAAAAAATAAAAACCCAGCCATAGGCACTGAGGTCCACAGATTCGGTATCTGCAGCCTTAAAACGTTATGGCCCGATTTCGACAATTTTTAGACTTGACCGTAAAGACTATCTCTGCAAGATATGTTGTTGTTGTAGCGGAAGAAAACATTCTTGAAGGAATTTTGATGAATGGTGCCGAGTTGACAGTCCTTGGCCGAATAAACAAATCCCGGTCCGTTCCGGTTACTTATAACCGAGTGTCGAGGGAACGGTATCCGATATATATATTTTTTTTAATGACGACAAACTTAAACACTTACCGATCCAAACAGGGTTAGATCGCCGAAATAACAGCCCTTGGTCGCATAAAATCCGGTAACGTAGAACCGACTGTTGTGGAAATGAATATATCCGATATCTTCATTGCTGCTTACTATATATGCTGTAAAGTAAAAGAATCATGGGGAATTTATACTTACGTACACTTAAATACGCACTTTTTGACGATAAAGGTAATAAAAGTTATGATTTCTCTTGAACACCAAGCGTATTATCATGATTTCGTACCATCAATTTTTTTATTTTTCCATTTTTTTATTCTTCGTCTTATACACAAATGCTGAAATAACTATTATTGTTATAATTCTGTCCCTCGTTGTTACTGAGTATTTAAAAGAAATAGTTTTATACAATGAACAAATAGTGGCACAATTGATTCGAATATTGGTTTTGCTTGCATTCGAAAAGTCGAAAATCCAATCAGATTCTGTGACACAAATAAAAATGAGAATTGGTTCTGGATTCTGACAACTAAGATCAAGTTTCTTCAATCTGAATGCAAAATGCCACATCCGCTAAATATATGTCATGGATTAAATTAAATTTTGAATATTAAATTTTCCAATCGCAAAAGCAATGCAATATTCCGTAATATTTGCAAATTTACGGTATGTTATATATAAATCAAAGAGCACAATATGATAACCAAACTCCGGGTTAACAATATATACTTCGTTTGCTCAGAAGATCTGAGCGGTTGCTTGATTGAATTTCTTGTACCGTAGCTTTCGATATTCCTTTTCGGCTAATTGGATCAGCCATTTCCTCAATCTTTCTCGGGAATACGTTGTAGTTAAATTGTAGAACTTTCGTTTCGGGTGCGTTCGAGATGGCAATCACGACAACAGTGTAGCAAATTTGTCATAGTATCACGATCTGCGTGAATTTATGGCAACACTTGTAACAGCATCACGTTCTGCTGTCATTTTTTGCACGCAATTTATGCAAATAATCGGCAACACTAAACTTTTGTCTGCACATTAGCAGAGTATCACCAAATATGCAACAAAGTAGCTGTACTGCTGCAATTATTACGGAGCTCGAACGCACTCTTCGTCTTGTAAAGCACTTATAGTCTCTAGTGTGAGGGAATAGTGTGCAGGAGATAGTTGTTGCTGCTGCGGTAACCGCAGTCAACGTTGTCACACTATGGATTTTTCTGGCTATAGCTATAGCGAATAATACACCCCACTTATATTTGGTGGGGAAATTACAACACAAAAAGCATGAATTGCACCTCACTTACGTGATGTTGTTACGTATTAAGGTCAAACGGGACCAGGGGACCTTATAGTTCTCGCACAGTGATTGGAGCGAGTTAAAGGTTGGTAAGGGAACTGAAACTGACTCAGACTGGGAGTCATGCTGCCTACTTAGCTCCTGTAGACATTTGAGTGGGTGTAGCGGCGCAGCGCTTCCGTAGAGGTGGTTTTCGCAGAGAGTTTGTTTATTGTAGCACGCAAATAGAAATCGCAGGTCAAATAATAAAACTGTACATATTATTACTAAAAAAATCACTAAAATAGAATTTTTTCATATAAAGAAATATGTACATACATGAAATATTATTTAATGCACCCTATGCAGCCTATTTCAAGAAATGTTTTAAAATGCTAGATATATCACGAAATGCTGTTTGTAAGCAATCGACAAATTCTTTTCCGTTGCGCTCATTTTCATAAGAAGAAACTATTGCACCACAGTAATCATTTTGTATTGAATATCTGTTTCAAATAAACAATAATGATAATAAAAAATATAAAAGTTTTATAAATACATCATACTCACGCTATTCCCAAACCATCTCGTACGACTGGACCAAAAGAGCCAGCCAACAAAGCATCGGATGATAGCGTTGAAGTGCTAATAATGTTGTGATTGATTTTAGCATACGCCTCACTTTCATATATAGCAGGCAATTCTTTTCCATGGAGTTTAGCTTGATATCTTAAAGCAAACAAATGCCTGTCGAAACCTTGTCCCATTGCAGCCTGTTTCGTTAGCTCAGTATGTACAAGCGAACACTGTTTGATTAAGGCATATAACTCACTTAAATGTGGCTGCTTTGCAAGACTTCGCTCCAAGTTATCACACACGCGTTTTGTCGCCATGGTGCATGGACGCACGGTTTCGGTGCGACCGTGTCGAAATGCAGCCGTACTGCACGATTCATAAGTACCAACATAATCATTAAAAGCTCTTTTATATGCGAGTTGAAATGAAAGTTGCATTATTGCATCAGGGCTCAAACCAAGTGCTTTGCATATATCTTTATTTAATTCCGGATATTTGAGTGTATTTATATTCAGTTGATGCATTATATGCTTGTTTTTCAATATAGCTTTTTGTACAGCATTTTCTACAAATGTGTCTGTTTTTAGTTTGATCAGTCTTACGCACTTTATTTTTTCAGTATCATTAACTATTATACTAGGCTTTGCAAAAGCATTATTTGTAGTTTCTTCGAATATTTCATTAAAATATCTTAGTACGGCGACTCCATCGCCCCAGGAGTGTTCAAAGTTTACAGCGGCCGTACCATCCGCAGTTACTATTAATGATACTGATTTATCGAACCAACTAAATAAAAAATAAATAATAATAAAAAAATTATTTTTAAAAAAGTATTCGTCAGATATTTTAATTCCTACTCACCGATTTGTGCCGTCTCCCGCTAACAAGTCTTTGAGCAGTGGTACAAAATTTTCTTCACTGTATCTTGGGGAATTATTTGAGTCTAAACAAAGGCAAAATAAAGCAGCATCAATTTCTCTTTCAAGTAATCGTTTATTTTCTCCTCCTATATTATCAGTTAAATATTTGCGCAAATTAGCCCATTCATCCCGATTAATAGAAGTCAAAGTTCCAATGGGCACAGTGGAACTACCGTTAGCATCAGAATTTTTTACAACCGTATGTAAACGCCCAAGAATTACATCTGGATTTTCTATATTTCCCTCCTCGTCCAAAACATCTACTGAATATAAATTGCCAGCGCGAAGGACTAATATATGCTTTGAGTTTTCATTTTGCACTAACGAATCTTTGCCTTTTCCTGGTATTCTAGATACTCCAAAAAGTTGTTTGTATTGACTCATATCCAAAGGGAAAGCTTTGAAAGCATAAGCCGCATATGTGGCAATTCTTTCAGGAACAAGGCGCATAATATTCTTAAATCCTTGTGTATCGCTTTTCTTAGCACTCAGATGATAAATTTCAGGCTCTAATAGGTCTGCTTGCAACGAACGCCAAAATCTCATGGAACTTATCACTAAATTAGTGGCACGCAGCAACTGGTCTTGGTATGCCTTTTTTGTGTCGTGTTTCATAATGAGCAAGGGATTATAATTAAGAGGTAATGGATTTCTATCACGTAAATACATGTCGAACCTATATATAAAATTATTGCAATAACAAAATATATAGTATGAACAGAAATAGTTTTATTTTAATGATCACAATACTAGTACATACATATGGCATTAATGTAAATAAAAATGGGGCTACACTAAATATAATAGGGGCGTGCCCGATTTTGATATTAACCAGTTTATATTTTGTAATACATAGGTAAATTAGCAATTAAATAGAAGAAAAGTTGAAATTTTTCTACACAATTTTTTTTTTTATTTAAAAATTTAAATATTGGAAATCTAATTTTAATCCCAAAGGTTTGAACTAGAAAATTCGCAACCCTGCTCGGTTTTCCGATTTAAGAACTAATAAAGATGAGAAAAATATAAAATTATTAGACATTCATATATATATGTTACGAACAATAACAATATACAAATATTATTATTTCTTTGAAGGAGAGTTAACGACGTAATTCCATTTTATGCTTAGTCGTTCCACGTCACCTAGACCAGATAAAATCAATTAGAAATGCAAACACTATTAGAAGCGATTGCGCTTACAAATAAGAAAAAACTTTATACACCCTTTATAGGTGCATTTCTTATAACATAAAAGGAATTGGATAATAGTCTATGTCAAATTTTGTGAAAATATCTCGCCAAATTCAAAACTTTCCAATACAAGAGCTCGATTTTAATAGAACAGTCTGTGTGGCAGCTATATGAAATAGTGGTCCGAAATCGGTGGTTTCGACAGCTTTTTCGGAAGAAAATGACGGGCAAAATTTCCGATCAATAACTCAAAAACTAAGGGACGTGTTCGCGTGTATACAGACAAACTGACATGGCTATAACAACTCAGCTGATCAATTATATATTTATTTCATAGCGTCTCCGACGTTTATTTCTGTGTGTTACAAACTTTATGGCAAACTTAAACAACAACAAGGTATATTCAGTGTATAAATATGAGTTATCCACACGAACTTCGAACTATCCCCAAATATGCAAACAATAACTGTCTTAAACCATACATACATAACAATAAACAATACATCCGTTTTTAGACAAAAACAATAGAAGATACTATTGTGATGGAAGATACTAATTGCGTTCGTTCAAAGAATAATGTTTTTCCTTTGCGCGATAAATTTTCGGAAAACTGTTTTTATGTTTTTTTGTAAATTAACATGTTCAATTGTGATCACAGACACTTACAATTTGGTCAGTCTTTTTTGATCTTGTTTTTTATTTATTATTTATACGTGTAACATCGTACAGTGAAATAAGAAAAATGAGTGTTCAGTCTTGTCCAGGGTTTTTACTATGTTTGGTGTAGATTCTACTGCGGCCTCAATGCTATATATAAAGTTTTTTTTTACCTATCAATATCTTATCTTTATGCATATATTTCATGTGTGCGTGTGCATGTCACTGAACTCCTGCTAGACGGCTGGACCGATTTTGATGAAAGTTTTTGTGTGAGTGCAAGGGGAGTCGAGGAGGGTTTAGATTCATAATTTGATCCACTGGAAAATGTTTATTTAACTATACTTTCATTCATAAGTAGTTGTTAATTTTCGAATGCATTACATTGGATCCGGTAGACTGCTCTACCATCGAAGATGTGAGAACGTTTTAAATAGAATTCCGGCAGACTGCGCTACAGTCGTGACAGATATTCAAGTATATTTGAGCCTGGTAGATGGCGCTGAGATCAGATTTTAAGATCGCATAAGTATAGTTTAAACGATTAAGACTATAGACATGTGTATGATGTATACTGAAGAAATATGTAAATAAACAAGTAAGGAAGGGCTAAGTTCGGATGTAACCGAACATTTTATACTCTCGCAAAGTCAAATGGTATACTCGTTTGAGATTTCTTTGTGGATTGACTGATATTTTCGGTAGAAGGTCAACTATAGGCACTGGGGTCCACATATTTAGTACTTAGGGGTTTGAACAGTTTTGGTTCGATTTTTGGCCGCAAGGTGGCATACTTTAATTGCATTATTCACGCAAAATTTTACCCCGATATAATCATTATCTGATTTGCATAGTGGAAAGTGAAAGAATCAGATGGAATTGAAAATGGTGTTACATGGGAAGTAAGCGTGGTTGTAGTCCGATTTCGCCCCATTTGCATTTCGCACTATGACATAGAAACATGAAAAGAACGTTATGCACCGAATTTGGTTGAAATCAGTTGAGCAGATCTCAAGATATGGGTTTTCACCTAAAAGTGGGCTGTGCCACGCCCACTGACAAATTTTGAACGCGGTTTCTATAAAGCCAATTTATATCATCTCAGAGATAAAATTTAATGTCTCTGGCGTGTTTAGTGCTTGATTTATCGCGGTTTTAGTAGTTTTTAACAGTACCGTTATATGGGGAGTGGGCGGAGTTGCCACCCGATTTCAACTATTTTCACACCGTCAATAGAAGTTCTAAAAACATTTGCTTCCAGTGAATTTTGTTATTATAGCATTAGCGGTTTAGGAGATATGCACATTAAACCTATTAGAGGCGGGACCACGCCCACTTTTTAAAAAAAAATTTTAACTGCAGATGCCCCTCCCTAATGTGATCCTGTGTACCAAATAACAGTCTTGTATCTTATTGCGGAGCTTAGTTATGGCAAGTTATTTGTTTTTGATTAATGGCGTTTTGTGGGCGTGGCAGTGGTCCGATTACGCCCATCTGCAATACCAACCGTCTCACGGTACCATGAAACATGTCTACCAAGTTTCATAAAGATATCTCAATTTTTACTCAAGTTAGAGCTTGCACGGACGGACGGACAGACGGACGGACGGAGAGACGGTACAGACAGGTGGACGGACGGGGACAGACGGACGGACGGACAGACGGACAGACGGGACGGACGGACGGACGACAAGACGGACGGACGCGAGACAACGGACAGACGACGGACGGACGGACAGACGGACAGGACGGACAGAGCGGACAGACGGACGGACGACGGACGAGACGGACGGACGGACGGGACGAGGACGGACGGACGGAGAACGGACGGACGGACGACGGAGACGAGACGAGCCGACGAGACGGAGGACGGGACGGACGACGGACGGACGGAACAGACGGAGACGACGGGGACAGACGGACGGACGGACGGGACGGAAGACGGACGGACGGACGGAAGACGGACGACAGAGGACGAGACGGACGGACGGACACGACGGACGGACGGCAGACGGACGGACGGAAACGGACGACGACGGAGGACGGAGGACGGAACGGACGGACGGACGGACGGACGGACACGGACGGACGGACGGACGACAAGGACGGACGGCGGACGGACAAGACGGAGACAGACGACGGCGACGGACGGACGAACGGACGCGGAGAGACGGACACGACGACGGCAGACGGACGGAGAACGGACAGGACGGGAGGACGGACGGAACGGACAGACGGACGGACGGACGGACGGACAGACAGTCACCCGGATTTCAACTCGTCTCTTCATCCTGATCATTTATATATATATAACCCTATATCTAACTCGATTAGTTTTAGGTGATACAAACAACCGTTAGGTGAACAAAACTATTATACTCTGTAGCAACAGGTTGCGAGAGTATAAAAATATACATATAAATGGCAGAACAGTGGAAGGCCACTGGGTTTTAGGAATGATCGAGGATCGAGGCAGCAACGCCCTGCGGTTGGAAGTGTGCCCCGATAATGTTTGGTCTACGGAGATGCTCATACCTCTAATTTAAAAACACATTGCGCCTGGTACGGTTATTCAATCAGAGAACTTAAAACAACGAGAAGGTGCAGGTTCGACAGCGAACAATTTGTAGGATTTTATCAAGGAGTTCACCTCACATGCACGAGAAACAAATAACTTTTCTCGCTTTTATAACAGCGGTGAATCTGTACTCATACGCTCTCTTAACATAACCAACCGGCGAATATTGAAGAGAATATAATATGTATGCCAAACTGGAAATATTGATATGCCATTTGAAACATATTCCCTTTTATTGAACTATTATTTACTATTATTTTTAAATTATTTTATGTTAATTCATTTTTACTTTATTGTGAGTTATTAATATTTAATTTAACACATATTTTGATATATTTCTTAAAATAATTCAAGTGCTTGACACTATTATCAAGTCATAAAAGTACAGAATTGTGTTTTGCTCGCCGATTGTCACCGCTTCCCTTGCCGCTCTAACAGCTTTGCCCACAAATCATTGTAGGTATGTGTGTTTTTATATGAACATGCATACATATTGACGAAAATTTTTGCGAGCCACGGAAAAATATTTTAGAATTGTGAAATACTTTAAATCGACAAAAGCTTTGTTGCCACTTTTGTCATTTTTTTCTGTGTTTGCAGGGTTGCCACTTTTCCCTTCTAGAGGGAACATAAAATAGTTGTTCAATTTATGATTTCTAGCTTTTGGCATCATCGTGAAAAGACGCTTGTTGGCAAGCGCATGCTCGGGGACACAAAGTTAGTCACAGCTTTGCCTCCCAGTCTCAAGGATGAGGCCACTGAACTCAAGTTACGTAGACTGGGTCGTCCTACACCTGGACGTACACGTCCTCTTCACATTACCACCCGCTCAGCAGCCGATGCACTTTCCATTATCAAATACAGACCAACAGACGAAAACTCAGGTTTTATTTTCAAGACTGATCTAACTCCCTCTCAACAACTTCATCTGAAAAATTTGCGTCAAGAGCTTGATTCAATCGTGAATAGTGGTGATGACAGTAACACAATTAAATATATCCATGGTGTCCCAAGAATCGTTAAAAGAAATTTTCGTCCGCTCAACGAGCAAGAAGAAAGTATCTTACGTCCACCTGTGCTACCAGAACGTCAGAGGTCTGCGTAAAAAACTCTCAACATTTCAAACCGCATTAGCGGCTAACCAGTACGACGTTGTATGTATTTAGGAATCCTGGCTTCACTCATCCATATGTGATGGTGAAGTCATTGATTCAACATATAGTATTTACCGTAAAGACATTACCTTG